AAAGAATTCTGATAAAGAAAGAGATCTAGGAGTGGTTCTAGATAGAAAACTATCACCTGAGGACCACATAAAGAATATTGTGCAAGGAGCCTATGCGATGCTTTCTAACTTCAGAATTGCATTTAAATACATGGATGGCGATATACTAAAGAAATTGTTCATGACTTTTGTTAGGCCAAAGCTAGAATATGCAGCGGTTGTGTGGTGCCCATATCTTAAGAAGCACATCAACAAACTGGAAAAGGTGCAAAGACATGCTACTAAGTGGCTCCCAGAACTGAAGGGCAAGAGCTACGAGGAGAGGTTAGAAGCATTAAACATGCCAAAACTAGAAGACAGAAGAAAAAGAGGTGATATGATCACTACGTACAAAATAGTAACAGGAATTGATAAAATCGACAGGGAAGAATTCCTGAGACCTGGCACTTCAAGAACAAGAGGTCATAGATTTAAACTAGCTAAACACAGATGCCGAAGAAATATAAGAAAATTCACCTTCGCAAATAGAGTGGTAGACGGTTGGAACAAGTTAAGTGAGAAGGTGGTGGAGGCCAAGACCGTCAGTAGTTTCAAAGCGTTATATGACAAAGAGTGCTGGGAAGACGGGACACCACGAGCGTAGCTCTCATCCTGTAACTACACTTAGGTAATTACACTTAGGTAATTACACACACACACACACACACACACACGGTGGGCCACTATGTCAAGACATCCTCCAGATACCATAGTACCCATAACTACTGTGCACACGATGAGTCGCAATAACGTGGCTGAAGATATGATGACAAAACCACACATCAGAAAATGAAGAAACGACAACATTTCACTCCATCCTGGACCCATTACCGGGTAGTGTAATTTGATAACACGACTTAATGAGCCAGGATGGAGCGATAAGTCGTCGTTTCTTCATTTTCTGATGTGTGGTTTGGTCATTATAACCACTATGAATGTTGCACTCCAGAAGTTGGCCACGTTGTGCTACAGCCTTTTAATTATGAAAAAATTTAAACAGTCTTACCACAAACCTAATCTAGCCTAGGTAAGCATGTCTAGGTTTCTAGGCATGCTTACGTCTACTCTACTATAGTGCATATGTACTATACTAGGCCTAGAAAAGGTTTGGTTGTTGTCTTCTTTCTCAGGCACTATAAAATTAATACTGGTACAAAATGTGTGTGTGTGTGTGTGTGTGTGTGTGTGTGTGTGTGTGTGTGTGTGTGTGTGTGTGTGTGTGTGTGTGTGTGTGTGTCAATCAATGTTTTCCATATTCCACCCATAGTGGCTATAGGCGCTAGCTACATTTTGGAGGACGGGTTGAAAAATGTGGGCTGTGTAATTTCCTTTTCCCCACGCCCTTCATATCTCTTCATTCTTTTCATTCTTCTTCCTCCCAGAACCAGGCAGAGACTAGGTGTGGCCGGAGAGTAAACATAACTGAAGCTCATTCTCAAAAGAAACTTTTCAAAGCTGTGTCAACACGTCCGTAGCGGTGAATGGTGCAAAACACAACATACACACACAAGACGTACACAGGCACAGACACACGCATACACACATGACGTACACAGACACAGATACATGCATACACACACCCACTTGCCTGCACCTCTCCATGCACACACGCGTCTAGATAATGGTCCACAGTGTTACGTACAAGCCGTCATGTACCGCGCAGCAATGCAATAATTTAAAGCTTACGAAATCGCGCCCACGGGACTATGCGGTGCTCTGACTAACACACTTCTTGCTTATCAGTGCTCACCTATCAGTGACTACGGGGGTGTGAGATATTGCTCTTTATGTTCCGCCTCTTACCCTTTTGTATCTGGCTTACCTTTTATACCTATTGACGTTCATATTATGTGCCGTATCTCTTTTTGAAACCGAGAATGTAAGTTGCTTCGATAACCTTCTCTTTCATTGTATGCCACTTACTGATCTCGTACCACTTACTCGTACAGGGTACAAGACACTGACCACCAGTACAGGGTACGAGACATCTTACATCACTTACTCATGAGGGTTTCCAACTTTCACTGATGTCCTATGTTCTCTCAACTGAAAGAAACTGTCCTTGTCTACCTTGGCAGTCCTCTTCAGTATCTTGTATGTAGTGATCACATCTGTTCCTTCTGGGGGTTTGAAAATCAAGTTCCCTTTACACTGCCCACACAGTTTAGCCCTCCAAATTCTGGTACTAATCTTGCTGCAACATTTCCTTTTCAAATTGTTGTGCTTCGCAAAGTGCGGATTCATTGATAATGTTGTATACTCTTATTATTTGTCTCACATAGGGTGTGTATATTTTCTTGAATGAATCATTGATTAGATTTTAAATGATATTCTTGTGTACGCCATTCCATGTGCTGCTGACATTATCGTGTTTGTGTGTACCTCTGGTGTTAGTATAAGAAATATATTCCTTCCCAATCTTTTTCTCTCTATGACTCGAAAATAATCATGTAGAATCTACACCCTTTGTGGTGTATATTCCTTTTGGTCTCGTATCTCCCTGCTCTAATTTCATTAACTTAGACGTGTTCAGGCTGAACTCTTTTAACAACATGTCTGCCCACTCTGGATTTTGTCAAGGTCTACCTGCAGCACTTAACAGTCATTTTTAGTTACATAATACTCTCATGAGCTTGGCGTCATCGGCAAACATATGTAAGAGCTCACTCCCTCGGGTAGCAAATGTCGTTTACATGGATTATGAAAAGCAATGATCCTAGGGCGAAGTCCTGCGGAACCCCACCTTCCACTCCCGTCCAGCTAGACACATCCTCTCTGACTGTGTCCCTTTGTCCCTTCTCTGTCATGGACTCCCTTACCCAGTCTAGTGTGTGTCACGCTATCGCAGCTTGTCTCTCCACCTCATACACTTGCCCGTTGTGAAGGACGGTATCAGAAGCTTTTTGAGTCGATATAGATACAGTCCACCCAACCTTCTTTCTCTTGATGTAACCTGGTAACCATGATGCAGAACTCCTGTGTTTCTCAGGCACGATTTTCCCCTCTGCTACTCTGTTAAAAAACTGGTTCATTCAAAAGGTTCCACTGCTCTGTTCCTGAAACCCTCTACAAAATAGGCTGTAATGCTATTTGGAACACAACGTGACCGCTGGAATCCTCTTCAACCCTAAAACCGTTTTAAATAATTTTTCGTCTAAAAGTTTAGATTACAGTATATTGTAATATTTATTTACAAGGAGGTACAATAGCTATGTGATACTGCATAAGATTGGTATTTTTACATTCTTGCAAAGCCACTAACACGCATAGAGTTTCGGACAAGTCCTTACTCTAACATATCAGGTAAGATTAAAAGGTACATTGTAGCAAAATTTATATCAACATATAACTACAATATAATGAAATGCCATGATAGATTATCATAATTATATTATTGACATGCATATGTGATAAGTACTTATTATATACGATATAGGTCTATACAAATTAATGCAAATCTACAAAATATGTACATGCCGAGAATATATCACTCAGGATATATATTTGAAAATATTAAACATGTGCCAAGCATGTATCACACATGATGTACATTAAAAATACTATATGTATATGACGAAAACGTATCATATACGATATATAATACAATATCATTTCAAGGAGAGCCTGAAGCAAGGATGTTGCATGTTACGGTAAGAGGAGCACAGCGCATGCATACTAATGTGGGGCGTTGTGTGTGTGTGTGTGTGTGTGTGTGTGTGTGTGTGTGTGTGTGTGTGTGTGTGTGTGTGTGTGTGTGTGTGTGTGTGTGTGTGTGTGTGGCGCTGGCGGCGGCCTTGTCCCTTATAGCCCACATCTCTGGGTATTTAATCCCAGCCAACCTTCCTCACATTTCCAGTACTGTAGCAAGACGATGGTTAATGTACACAGAAATACAGCCCTTCACACTACGCTTAATTTATTATATATCAAAAGATAATTATTTTATTCAGTTAAGAGTGGTCATGAGAGCACAGCTATTTGTAAACATTTATAGAGCGGTGTACCGTTGTCTGGGAGAGCAGGCCATAGACACATAGGTCCCCATAGTCATGGGCAAGGATGTGGTGCAGTTATTGGCCAGGCCCAATTGTGCTTAACTTGGCCAAGCAGCGAGGACATCATCCATGCGCCACAACTACATTCATCTTCAATATCAGACTACTATCTTAGCATAAAAAACAGAGTTGTTTGTTATTCACGTGAAAATCACACACACAATTCTAGGCATTCCTACTTTAATATATATTTGAATCCAGTGTGGGAGATAATATATTACCATTAACAAAGAACAAATCAAACGCAGCGGCAGTTAGTGTGAGTGAAGATAAGAGCCGAGACACCTTAAGGAAGCTGAGGCCGGGGCCACGGGCAGGGAGGGGGACGAGGCCTACAGAGGCCCACCTGTCTACCTTACCTGGCCGGGACTCGCCCTGTGTCCCTCCCCAACCCTCACCTGTCCTCCTTCCTGTTCCCCTACTTGGCAACCCCCCCACCTCACAATTTCCCCCTCACCCCTACCAGGTCCCACTCATCTCCCCAACTCCTTCCCCATCTGGCATCATCCACCCCCCTCATCCCCCTTACCCATCTGGCCTCCCCTCCCCAACTGGCATAATCCCATCCCCCCTACCCACCAACATGGCCCCCCCTCATCTACCAAACCCACTCCCCCCTCTCCAGGACCCCCACCCCCTCACTACACACACTCCCCTCCGTGCATCAAGCCAGTGCTGGGAGACGAGGCCGTCCACAACTCATCTCTGCCACAAACTCTAAAAGTTTAACTTGACAAAAGTTCTTCCTTAATACCCTGCGAATCAAACTCGTTTTATTTCCACACACACGAGCAGGAACTTCACCGTCCTCGTCCGTTCTGGCTTCCCGAGTGCGGCCCAAGTGGCCGAGGAGATGACGACATGCAGGAAACGTTTAAAAGTAGCGAAGTAGATCAAGGTATGTGGGCAGACGCTGGGTATTCTCACCTGGAACTCCTGCTCATATTGACCATCTCCCTCGTTCCTCTTCCCTTCTAAACAATCCACGTGATTAATAAAATTCTGTAGTACAGTCCTTAGAGGCAATTTTCCTTCCCTCATCCCATGGTATGGGTTGGGGCTATAGAAGCTAACCCCTTCACTAGACACATTAAGTGGTCGTGCGCACACCCGCTCTTTTCACAAGTCACACACACACTGAGGTGCCGCGGGCTGTGGGCAGCCTCCGCGCCATCTACCGGCAAGAATGTTCCCCAGCCACACCGCAAAGAAAACGGTGCGAGGGTAGACTTAACATCACTTCGGAACCTTAACGCTATTGTCTTATTTAGAACTGAAAGTGAAAGTGATACATTTCAAGGACGAGGAGCACTGCAACGTATAGAAGCAAGTACCTGTATATTAGCCGGGCTCACATGATGTTTAACAGTTGTCGTAGCAATATACTTCAATTTACTTGACGACGTATCTATAGGTTGTCGGGGACTGCATATAGTTAATTATTAATACTCTACATGCAAATAAATGGGCTTATACTATTCGTGAGTACGGAAAGAAAGATTTGCCTCATGGGCCCCGCCTCCTAATCAGTCTAATGCTACTACTCCAAGACTTCAAATGTTTTAACATATCTACTTTCATAACGATCCGACGTCGCCTGCACCGCACCACTTGATTTATTTATTATTTTATATATATATATATATATATATATATATATATATATATATATATATATATATATATATATATATATATATATATATATAAAATATATAATATACAAGAAGTTACATTGGGTTTATGAGAATACATAGCATGATGTGTTTACATTCTTGTAAAGCCACTAGTATGCACCGTGTACGTCTCCTTCACCGAGTACGTCTCCACCGTGTACGTCTCCTCCACCGTGTACGTCTCCTCCACCGTGTACGTCTCCTTCACCGTGTACGTCTACTACACCGTGTACGTCTCCATCGTGTACGTCTACTACACCGTGTACGTCTACTGCACCGTGCACGTCTCCTCCACCGTGTACGTCTCCTCCACCGTGTACTGGTACTTCCCCTTCAAAATTGGTCATATCTCTAACTGTCTACGATATATGTAAAGAAATAAAATAGCTTTGTGTGCCTTTTAAAATTTAGTGTAATGTGATATCTCGCACATATACCTCTCTCTTCCTCTGATGTCAAGTAATTAAGGTATTAAATTATAGCCTGTCATAAATAATTAGCTTTAATTAGTTATATTAATAATCAATTTTGGAACCATGAACATAATTAGCCTCATACACTCTCTTACAAAAGAAGGAACTCCAGTCTCTCAGCTGGGTGCCTGCTTTTGATAATTAATTGTAGCCTCGTCTGACAATCTTTGAACCATCTTAAAATACTTTGTTGCGCTGTTCTAGGTTCGTATAATTACAGCCACTTCCACAGTGTTATATTGTATCTTCCAACTTTACATATACCGCTAGCAGTACCATATGGAGGCTTAGCTCTATCTCTGTGCTTAGATTGGTGTTAAACTTGGCATAATTGTTTTAATTAGTACAGTATTGTAAAAAAAAATTGAAACCGTGCAAGCCTTGAACTCTACGTGTAAATGATCAGAATACTGAACTGGCATATACTTTTAAATATTCAAGAATGAAAAACCTTTCATGTATGCCATAACTACACATTATAGTTGCCTTAGCAAAACACTCGAGAGAATGGTCCTAAACCGTCTCCTCCATAGAATAAGAAACATGCTATCCTCCAGATATATGGCTTCATGTTTGGAAGGAGTGTGCATCATTGCATCACCACCTTTCTTACCCTGAACACTGACAAGTCATCTACCACCTTCCTAGATTTCAAGTCTGCTGTTGATATTGCAAACCGACATATCATATTGAGTGACCTTGTGAAAATGAATATTGATGTATTGGCTTCTGTGTTGGATCAGGGGGGGTTACTTATCCAACAGGAAGTCATCTGTAGTGTTCCAGGGGCATAGGAGTGTAACAAGAGACTTCGAACTAGGCACCCCACAAGGAGGTGTTCCCAGTCCTACCTTATTTAATATTTTAACAAACTCGCTGTTAAACTCTGTGCCGAGAAAACCCCACGTGTACATCATTAGCTATGGTGATGATATAATTATACGTACCACTGGGTATGCTGATGATATAATGATACACACCACTGGGTATGCTGATGGTATAATGATACATACCACTGGGTATGCTGATGGTATAATGATACATACCACTGGGTATGCTGATGATATAATGATACACACCACTGGGTATGCTGATGGTATAATGATACATACCACTGGGTATGCTGATGATATAATGATACATACCACTGGGTATGCTGATGATATAATGATACATACCACTGGGTATGCTGATAATATGATACATACCACTGGGTATGCTGATGATATAATGATACATACCACTGGGTATGCTGATAATATAATGATACATACCACTGGGTATGCTGATGATATAATGATACATACCACTGGGTATGCTGATGATATAATGATACATACCACTGGGTATGCTGATGATATAATGATACCATTGGGTATGCTAACACACAAGACACTCTTAACTCTGCACTTAGACTCATGTCAGGACCTTGGTTTAGTCATCTCAGCAGAGAAAACAAAGACACTAAATCGGCCTCCACCCAGGCAGGGAGGAGCTGTTCGCAAGACGGAACTGTATAATGGTTCCCAGCTTAACTATGTAAACAGATTTAAATACCTTGGCCTTGAGGTCCCATTGTATGGTCCTGTTGTAATCAGACTCCGTCGTCAGAATAAAGAGGCTCAGAGCTCTCAAGGTTGTTGCAGGATATCACTTAGGATATGTTGCCAATGTCAGAATTGTCAAAATGATGTACCCTGCATACATTAAATCTTTAGTGGATTGTGCTGCACCTCTACTTGCTCTGGTGCCTGAAAGAAAGCTAAGAGGGCTTGAAAAATTGCAAAACGAAGCCTTAAGGATTATCCCTGGTGTCCTTATACCACAAAGATACTTAATATGAGAAATGAGTTTAATATTCCGAGCGTCATATTGATGGTGTTCCTGAAGTAACTGTCTGAGTGGTATAAAAATGGTTAGGCTAGCTCATCCGAACCCTTGCACAGAAGACCTCTAGAATTTCTTTATTGAAAGTCCAATGCTATCCATTGTTCAAAATGGATAACTAGAACTGGAACTGAACTTAGAATGTATCAGATTTATAATTTGTGCCAGGAGAGACAACAACGGTACTTTTCTGCACTGTAGGAGATTACCCCCCTTTCTACCCAAGAAGCAAATTAGAGATCAGCTCAAGCTTCGTTTTGAGGCAAAGCTCAACGCCCTAAGTCATATTGATACTCTGTCCATAGGGGTATCTGATACACTCTTTCTCTAACCATATACACAGATGGTTCCCTACACCGCCCCACGGGTGCAGCTGGAAGTGCTGCTGTCCTGACAATGGATTACGGCCAATATTTTGAGTGTGTAATCCACATAAACAATTGAGCCTCTACTCTTCAGACTGAACTATTTGCATACTTCCTGCACTCAAATGTACACGTCTCCAAACTTGACACATTTTCTGCACCTACTTATTAACTTATAATATTCTTACGTATATTTATATAATCAAATTATTATTATTATTTTGAGTATCACAAACAATAAAGAAAAACAGATTTCTAATTAAAATACCATTGAAATTTAAGATTTATTTATATTTTGATCTTATAGAAAATCAGTACAGTATTACAGTTGGTCTTAATTGTTTATTCTGTGAACCTTCATTATCACTATAGCATCTCTGATATTGCTTTGGAACTGAATTATCCTCATATGATTTAAACTGCTTTGAGACACATTAAAGAAAAAATAGTGGATTCCCATTTCAATAGAACCTCAGACACAATGGAAAGATTCTAAACCAGAAATTTTAACGAAATTCGGAGAATCTGCATATGCAAATCCAATAAACATAAACAATTAATTTTGTTCATATAATATTTACACTTCCATTCAAATTAGGTATTAAAATACTGTACTATTTATAAACACTTGTTTTTATCATTTGCCCTTATAAAAAAATACAAAATAAATAGCAAATATTAGATGCAACAGAAAATTAGATCTACCGATAGGGTCCAGGATGAAACGTTCTGGTCAAGGAAGAAATCCATTACAGTATACTTTACATCTAATGAGTGGAAATGTGATTTATATTACATTTGTTTGAGACATTCAAGACATACAAAAGTTATGTGCCTGAGTGAGATGGATGGATTTTGACAGTGATACACAGTACTATAGATGTCTTCAGTGGTATATATATTATTATCCATTACTAATGTTAGAGAAGTGTTTCATGTTTGGGCAGAAGAATTATTTACAAGCTTTCTTTGTATGGGAAAATTACATTATGGTAGAGGAAGCAAAAACAAACAAAAACAGGGTATCAAGTAGGTACTGTATACTGAAACTGCTCCATGAACCAAACTCCAGAAAGTCCAGCCACTCTTATCACCTGCTGGGCTATCATTGTCCATATCCACCATAACTATCTTTGCAAATTTATTTTTATTTCCCGGCTAATGTTTCACTATCTCAGTCTTCTCGTAGTTAATTCTTGTAAGTGAAGTTAGCAACTAGTGGAACTCAGTATATCCCTTAAGTTTGAGTAAGTTTGGCTTCTGTTCCCCCAAAAAGTACCAATGATGCCATTATTAGTCTGCTTAATATAATCTACACAGCCCTTGACAAAAAAAAAAAAAAAAGAAGTTCCCAATTGGCCTCTTCATTGACCTGAGAAAGGACTTTGATACTGTAAACCATAACTACCTCCTACTTAAACTTCACCACTATGGTATCCGAGGCCTTGCTATGGACTATATTCATTCCTATCTCAATGATAGACACCAATATGTAGCCATCAATAACATAACCTCCCCCACTCTACCATTAACAATAGGTGTGTCACAGGGCAGTATCTTAGGATCTCTCATATTTCTTATATACATCAAAGACTTGCCAAATGTTTCTAACATTCTTAAACCTATACTATTTGCTGACTGTACTACAGCACCTTCATCTATTCAGACCCCAACCCTCACACGCTAAATAATATTGTCAATAACGAATTTAAAAAGACCTCTTATGGATGTCAACCAATAAACTCACACTAAACACAGAAAAGACTTACTACATTTTATTTGATAGTAAATCATCAACTCAAATTCAACTTCAAATAGACAATGTTAACATTAGTCGCAAAAATGAGGGAATGTTCCTTGGCCTATTCATAGACAAGAGACTGAACTTCAGCATCCACATACAACAGACAGCCAAAAGTCTCAAAAACGGTCGGTATACTTTCTAATATCAGATATTATGTTCTCCACTCTCTCATTATACTACGCGCTAATCTATCCCTATCTTACACACGGTATCTGTGCATGGGTTCAGCCACTGCAAATTACCTCAAGCCCATCATCACTCAACAAAAATCTGCTATCACAACTATAACAAACTCTGTCTTCAGACAACACACAGCCCCTCTGTTTAAGTCCCTTAACATGGTAAACATACACACTCCACACATTTTCATGTGCTATTTACTAAATACCAATCTTATGTAATCTCACAAACCCATTGTACCTTCTTGTGAATAAATTATTAGTATATAAACAGGAAGATCTTTCACGTGGAGCCATGTTCTACATGAAGTGTTCTGGTACTCGTATAGTGAGAGTTTTAGGTATCTGGCTGACATCACATAATTGCTGGAGGAGACAATGAAATGATATTTACAAAATAAAGCAGTAAATTATGGCAACATGTAAAGAGCTTTCAGTCTCACACAAACCTCATACATCTATAAATAAAGCAGGCAGGATGATAATGCAGGAAAGTTAGACATATTATTAAGATGTGGTGGTGGAGGAAGATGGTGGTAGAGGAAGATGGTGGTAGAGGAAGATGGTGGTGGAAGAGATAGGTGGTGGTGGTGGAAGCAGGTGGTAGTGGTGTAGGAGGGTGGTGGTGGAGGAGGAAGAGGGTGGTGGTGGTGGGAGGTTGTGGTGGTGGGAAAGGAGATAATTGTGTAAGTGTGAGAATAATTTTAAAGATAAATATACACCAAGGCAGTACAGTAACTTTCATAAAAACATTAATTGAAATTGATGATTACAAGGTATATTTTGAGACAAATTATTACATCATTTACTCCAATATACAGGTATATTAAAATGAAGGTTCTGCAAGGTTTGGAGAGGCGAAAAGAGTTTATTACATAATTAGTCCAGCTAAGGCAATATTTAATTCATGTAAGTGGTTTAAGTGGATTTATGTGTTAATGATTGTCAATGAAGAAAAAGTATACAAAGTGACCAAGTAGAAGTACAGTAGTTAGATCAGAAAGGGATATTTCACAAGGAGCTTTTAATTAACGCAGATATAAAAAATACGATTTTTATACCTTGCTGCTTGTAACAAGAATCTTTAAAATTAAATATAAAACAATATAATATTTAAAATAATTACACAATTTATGTAGAGATTTCTGGACGGATCATATCACAGATATGTAAATTATGATTCCTTATGAAGTATGGCGACACTGATTAACAGCACTCTGCTTATGTAAACCTATGCAGCATATTAAAGCCTATCTGCCAAACAAGACATTAAGCATCTACAGTATATCATTAATCTGAAATTTATCGGATAGCTAAAATGAAATGAGGCTAATTTATATCGGGAAATAGACTTGGAATATAATGTGATATTTTTATATAAAAGTATTCTTTGTTTAATGCTGCTTTGTGTATCAGTTACAAGTCATTTATTTACATTACTGGTAGAGCTTATTTTGAATGTTCCATAAACAGAATGACAGTTGTTTCATATTGCACCACAAAGTCAAGACTCGGCACTTACATACAAACATGATTTAAAGATCTCTGTACGCTTAATTTAATGTTATTTTAATATGACTTGCAGTTGACATGAAAAACAAGGCCACGTGTTGATAGTCACGTATATAACCAGGATATAATAAGAGCAAGTCAGTAAGATGTTGTAGAACAATGGGAACTATCTGGTTATTGTAAGCTGATGTAACAATGAGAATTTATGGCAAGCCCTGTAACAAAGTCTAAAATATGAATGTGAACAACCAGCCACTAACAGGCGAAAAGCTGCCGTACAAACACTATTCAGGTCATCCTCTCTTTCTCTTATCAACAAATATATAATCCATAACAACATAATTCATATTATAGATATATATATACATATTAAAAGAATAGGGGTGGTAAGAGTGTACCCCAATTCTTACCTCCTCTAAGATCATCAGGGCAAATGGGGAAACACTTGACAGGCCGCTGGCTTCCTATTTTCATCGAAGCCACTAATATTAGTGATAAAATAATTAACATATTCACTCAGGTAAAAAAAAAAAATATTTTGGGCAAGAGAATTGCTATATAAGAGATGAAACGTGTATTTCCTGGCAGAGATGTTTTGCATTGCGGCACCAGACCACCAGGGCGGCGCTCCCGGCACACCATCACAGCTCTATGTCGTTCACTCATTGCAGATGGCTGACAGGTAGAGGCAAGTTGAACATTCCTGTCAAATTTCTAGGAGCATTTTTTTTCAATTTAAATGATGAATGTGTCTTAAAGGTAACACAGTCGTTAAATAATGTATGACATATCAAGTGTGGGTTATTTATGCTGGGTACGGTGGTCAGAGGCTTCCTTCGTAACTGCCGACGTATCGTAAGCAATTTTTCGTAATTTTTTTCGTAACAGACTGCTTGCTTTCAATATTTTATTATTAGTAACACAATTTACTGTAATAATTTAGCTTCTTTTCAATATTCTATCATTAGTAACAATTTACTGTAAAAATTTGGCTTGTGTACAATATTATTAGTAGCATAATTTACTGTAATAATTTGACTTGTTAATATTATATTATCAGCAAGGATTTTTGTGCCTAGGGAACTTAACCAGTAAGCTCGTCGGGGTTCCTAGCCTACGGCACTTGCTCTCTCATCCATAATACGGCTGCATTAGACGCAGGACAATTTTTTAATACATTTAAAAATAAAAAAAACACGTCTTATCCGCTGGCAACGTATACTGTACATTACTTATGAAAAGTAAAGCAATTAAATCATTTAATTACATCTGGAGGCCTGATAGCCGAGTGGACAGCGCTCGGGGTTCGTAGTCCTAAGGGTCCAAATTCGATCCCCGACGGAGGCGGGAACAAATGGGCAGTTTTTTTCACCGTGATGCACCTGTTCACCTATTGGTAAGTAGGTACCTGGGATTTAGACAGCTGCTACGGGCTACTTCCTGGGAATGTGGGTTTGTGAAAATTAGGATTAACGACTTGCCTGAAAAGCTTTGAGTGCTAGTGGCTGTACACGCATGTAAGAACTCTTGTATATATAAATAATAAAAAAAAAAAATCACAGTACACCAGTAAATTACACAAATCTTAAAATAAATACTACAAACACATCTGAATACATTATCATTATTAACATCATCAGATTTTCTCAGTTTCATGAAATCTTTATGTTCTGTCGAGAATACTGTAATCTGTAAAATTTAAAAAATTTGAGTTCATGTATGTCTAGAAATTTATATTACATATACAATAATAATAATTACTATTTAACATATACATTGCAAAACAAATTTTCTTCAACAGCATTCATACTTTTTACATCACATGAAAACCTACAATACTGTACGTATACCTGTACATATATACTTCTAGTGCATTTTTTCTAAATTTTAATTTTTTCCTTATCGTTTAAAATCGATACATAATAGGCATTTGTTAGATTATGTGAAAGGTATTTGCCCTCGTTAACTCCCATTATATATTTTTATATATAAATAAATTTAAAACATGTAGAGGAATGAATAGAAAATTGAGATTGCAAAGAGTTTTGCATAATGTGTCCAGGACCCACATCTAAAATTCCTCCTTCCTTACTGATCGATAACAGCCGAGTGTGAGGTTCTTTTCCTACACTGAAATTTATTACAGTACTTCACTGAGAAATAAGGCTAGATAAGCCTTGTCATAATCGTGCCCTTATTCCAAGCTGGTGAGTCCAGGACTGGCAGTTAGAGCTATTCATCAATTGAAGCTTCCTCTTATACTGTAGAAAGAAATCACCCCCTTTAGTCTGTGTTTTTAAAAGCATATACTGTAGTTACAGGATACTGGTGGATCTTTTCTTTTCAAAAATGTGAACTGAAAAGTTGTTAGTAATGACTTTAATGCAGAGAAATAAACATTGACTGCAGCCTTCCCTTTGCACAAGAGCTAGCAACCTTGTTCGAAGACAATGGTTTTAAAACTTCAACCGTTATCAAGTTAGTAGTCATATCCCTCCACGTCTTCTTCTCCTTCAGAACCTGGATTTTCCTCAACCTCCTCGTAGTCCATCTCTAGAGCTGCCAAATCTTCTCGCGCCTCTGAAAACTCGCCTGTAAAGAATAAATAAAATAAATAATAAAAAAATTTCCATTGAGATTACAGGCAATGCAAAGATAAAAAATTATATACCTACTTTAAAACAAATTCCAAGTAGGTAATCTCAAACCAGGAAGAACCCTGGTTCTTGACACCCTTCACAAAAGGGCCCTGTGGAGCCACCCCTGCAATGCAGGGAAGCCACAGTAATCCAGGGCTACACCCCACATCCCCAAAGGCAATAGCAACCTCGAGAAACTGTACAAATATCAAAGGTAAATTCAAATAATCTATATACAGTAATATTAGTCACTGCTAGTCATTTGTGTGATACATTATCAATATCTTGTGAGGTCCATGAACACTACATCTACAGTATAGGAAGAGTTTTGTCTGTGTAGTTGGTTACCATTTTCAAAATGTTAGCATGTTCATCAGGTAGAATTTATTTTTGACAAAAACCATGATGTGATGCTTTTTACAAGATTTTGCACAGTTAGACGAGTTCCTTCCTTAGGATTCTATCCATGAGCATGCAGAGGAGTAAAGTTAGGTTGATTGGTGTGTAGTTTTCTGCTGCTCTTCTACCTTTCTTGAAAATAGGAGTGGTAATTGCATACATACAATATTTTCCAATCCTAGGGAACTTTTTTTGGTGTAGGGATTATTTGAACAGGATTTCTAGTTTCAGACAGTTCATTATCCAGTTCCTTTGTTATTTTTTACTAGATTTTGCCAATACCTAAAGCTTTTGAGTGTCCCGGTAGTACAGTCAGGTATATTATCGACTCACATTTCCTATCACGTTTTTTTTATTTATGTATACAGTATGAGCTCGTACGTTCTTGTAAAGTCACTAGCACTCGTAGCATTTCAAGCAGATCCTTAATCCAAATTTTTCCACAAAATGCGACCCATCAAATCGTTTAACAAGCAGGTACCCATTCCCTGCTGGGTGAACAGAGGCTACAGTCATGGACTGGTGCCAGTCAATCCTTCCTGGCTAGGATACGAACCCACACCTAATGCCCCTGTTCACTATCAGGTGTTGTTTGAACACACCACTATCAGGTGTGTGTTCGTATCAGGTATTGATATGAACACCTATTGCCCCTGTTCACCTAGCAGTAAAAAGGTACGTATCCAGGAGTTAGTAAGCTTGTAGTTGGGTTGCATCCTGGGGCCAAGACAGTTCAACCTTGGGATGGACCTTGATATAAGCCTAATATGTATGTATACACACTCTGGCTGACTGTCCCCAAGCAAAATGAATTACAGTACAGTATTAGTAAGTACATATTAATTATTGTCAATGATCTTTATCATTTTGCACATATAGTACCTGTACTGGGAATATCCCTAACTCATTTTTATCTGCTTCAACTATTTGAATGGGTGTTTGGATGCTGTCTAATCTTTTCAGTACAAACACTGTTGTAAAATACAGTACAGTGTATATTTATTCAGTGTCGGCTACCTTTTTATCGTCAGATGGTCTCATCTTTCACAAGGTCCTACTTTTCTCTTGGGTTTATTCACTGTTCATACATAAAAAGACTTGGTATCTTTATTTTTTAAGCAAGTTTTCTTTCATAGTTTCTTTTGGGTGATCTGATTTCCTGGATGGCTGCATTCAATGGTCTTTTGTAGGTCTCATAATCCATAAGATTCTTTATGTATTGATGCTTCTTCTATAGGTTGAGCTTAGTTTCAAAGTTTTCTGTACTGCTGTTGTCATCCATCTGGTCCAGTTCTATTTCACTCTCTTTACACATACTCTTTTCAAAGTTTAGATATGACCTTTGTGAAATTATCCTATGATGCTTTAATGTCTATCTTCATACAATATTGGTCTAACAGTATTACTGCATATGAACTATTATTCACTTTAGTATTTATCACTAATGTAATGATAATGTAACAACAGTGCTTAACATTACAATATTTGATGTAATAAAAATGATTCATGGTCTAACAGTAACCAAAATTTAACCTATTTTTCTATGGCTGTTCCCTCCTGAGTAATATTATTGCTATTATATTGATCCATTAATACTTTTTGTGCAAGCTTTCTAAGTATATTCACACAGATATATAGAAAGAGCAAGTTAAAAAGAGCCCACTTTCTTGACACCAGCTGCACTACATCTCTTAAGCCACAAATTATTAGTAATTAACATCTTGTCTCCATAATTTATTGCAACTATTTTATGCTTCCTCAGAATACTGTTCAGTTGGATGCCTTATAGCAAGAACTACATAAGTTATATAAATAATAAACACAAACATAATGCTTTTGCAGTAAACATTTCACTAAAATTCATAGTCATTCCCAATGGCTACAGTTCAGTACATTTTTTTCAGTGAAACCTCTAAGCAATAAATTTAACACTTGTTACATTAAACCACACAAACACTCCATGCATGTTAGGCAACAATAAATGATTAAGTCTGGAGGAATTGGTAAGCAGTGAACAACACAAACCATTGTACCAGTGTTTCACAAACAGTAATGAATCACTCCATGTGGGAGTTGCAGAAAGCTACATAGCGATAAGCTTACTCAAACTTGTGCATGCTGAGTGCACAAACATATATGAAAGGTCTTAATTAACACACTTCATGGATTATACAAATTGCTCAAGCTATGAGAATACCTCGGTTCTTATATGGGCAATAAAAGTGCACTGACAACTCTATGGTGAAGGCAAATGCACAGAAAAGAATAATTGCTAAATATTTGCACTAGCCCAACAAACGTGTGACTGTAGCCCTTACACTGCCACCCAGTGGATGCGTGTGGGGTGCATGATATATAAATAAAATTAAAAGTATTAGTTTAACTCCAATGTGAACAGCTTTGTTTAGAGATCTATGAGATCTAGTTCCTGATCCTGCTGTGTGACTGTAGCCCAACTACCAACCACTTGGACTGGATGGTAGACTGTCGATCTTGCTTCTTGCAGGTCAGCATTCAATCCCCCCATGTAAGTGGTTTGGCACCATTCCTCTCACCCATCATACCCCAAATCCTTATCCCATGTCCCTTCCAAGTGCTATATTGCCATATTGGCTTTCTCCTGATAATTACCATTATCTCTGTAACCCTACTGATCTCAATAACCCGACAGCCAATAGCATGGATACACTCATAATAAACTAAACTAATACTGTAAATAAGCTTATGCATATGTTAACAAATTCTGAACCTAATTCATCAAATATGCAACTTGCTTAGCACATAATTAGTTCCTCAACCCATTATGTGCCTCTGTAACCTTTCTGCCACAATTAACAAGAGGGATATAAAGGCATAATAAATCTAAACTACAGTAACCATGAAATAATTAAGTTTTAAGAATATTTGTATAATAGTAAACTATGTGGTACACCCTGTATACTGTAAGTTATGTATATGAGATGAGCCAATTGTTACATTATGACAGAAAACAAGGAGACCATGTTCTTTACACTATTTCTCAGCATTCCTTTAAAAATATTGTGTTTATATTATAAACCAATATTATAAATCTCTAATTGTATCCAGGCATGGAGACCTCATCTTCAGAAAGACGTACCGATAGCTGCTTTGGAGAAAGTACAGCACCGGGCAACAAAAATAATTTCAGAACCAAGTCAACTCATACCAGGAATGGTTGAGGGCCACAGTACTAACAATGTTGCAAACCAGGCATGACAGGGTGGATTTCATTAAAACTTAAAATGCTTAGTAATTTGTAGGACGTTGATCCAGATAATTTCTTCAAAAGGTCAGATGTAACAAACAAGGAGCAACGGTTTCAAGTTCAACAAACCCCAATGTAGGACCAAAAACAGGAGATACTTTTACACCCACAGGGTTATAAACCCATGGAACTGCCTACCTGCTAATGCCATAAATGCTGAAACTGCTGAACTTAAAATACAGCTGGAAAAAATCATCAGGACAACTGGTGGGATCTTTTGACAAGCTGCTGACGTTCTGTGCTTGTTGAGGCAACCAAAGTGTTGGTGGCCCTCAGTTAAATTCAGGTAAGTAATATGCACATTTTCAAAACTTTATACTGTAGTCACATTAAAAAATAATTACAGCACTGTACAATAATGTAGCAGTTACACTAAAAATAATGTGGTAGCCACTTAAAGCATCCCTAAACTATTCCACATTCAAAAAATTCTATTCCAAGCATTTATAGGTTCACAATAATTCCCATAATTACTAATGACAATTGTACTGTAATCATATTCACTAACTATTAATGACACCTGTAACAAATTCCAAGGTTTCCATGAATCACTTAGGACAGTCAAAAGTAAGCAGTTTCACATCAGGCCAAATGATGATCAGCCTGCCAAATAAGGAAGCAAACTGGGTCCATCACAAGGTCAGATGCATTCAGATAAAACATGGTCAAAGACACCATCGTCAGATGAGTTCCGACTCTCATACATGACAAGACAAGCCTCACTAGAGCAAACAGCCAATCCCACCCTCATTCAAGCTCTGTGCTCTCACCCATCCGAGCTCTCCACCCCATACTCGAGCAAGTTCTCTGCTCTTGGCTCCAGGCCTCGCACAAGAGCTCTGCTCTTGGCTCCAAGCCTCGCACAAGCTTTCTGCTCCAGCCACCCTCAGCACCAAATCCTACCCAGCTCTGCCAGCAGCATGTAACAAGCATCCTTGTCACAACCTATTATGACACCATCTTACCAGTTCTAACATCGAGCTGCTGTAACCAAACTATGTTAAATATCAAAACCACCACACTTTTGGAAGACTGTCACCCAAAACTCTGTTACAAAATATATTATCCTCACTTTGTGGAAGTATGTGATAATCCAGCCTACCAACTCTCTTGTGGTGCAAACAGCCCAGAACAAGAATATATACACCAAGAGGTCTACCCCACTTCTTGGTGTATGTAGAACACTCCAAAAGTTAACATTAGCTCTGGACTATGTTCAGAATTAAAAGTACAGTATACTTGCTGGTTGGTCAGTAAGCAAACATACTGGCCTTAATAAACCCTCAGAGGTTGATAGGGCTTGAGCCTAAAACCCACCACAGATATATATGTTGAAAAGGGAAGACTATGCTGAGAAACCATCTTTTTTCATTTATTCTATAAAGGCCAAATGCCACCCGACCACATCAGTTGGAATGGGATGCAATAATCAACAAACTATACTGTATAATTATGTTGAGCAAGTCACTAACATGGCTGGAACAAATACAAAAAACACAAATTAGAAAAGAAAAAGAAATTTTTTTTTCTCTCCTAAACCAAAATGATACAGTAATTATCTATAATTTTAACTGAAGAAAAAGAAGGGTCTATAGTCACAACTATAAATTTTGTAATAGGTGTAATGAAAATAAAGCATCTACCTGCCCTAATTTAAAGTTTACTAAATCCACACCAAAAGAAAATTAGGATTTGAGTTCTTACGAAAAGTTCCTTTAGAGCATGGCCCATAGTCACTCCCTGTGCTAAGATTCAACTAGGCCCAAAGGACAGGGCAGCACATTTGAACCAATGCTTCACATCTTATTTCAATAAGCCCTGCTGGGGTCATACTGGTGCTATTCAATCTAACATTGAGAGCCCATATAGGGTACTTTAGAGACCTTAAAACCTTAAGATAGAACTTAGCTGTGCAGTAGTATCGCTGCAGCATTCTGATAGCAATCTATAGCTCCCCAATCAAACTGCCACCAAATGGCAGCTGCAACTCCTCAGTCATGGCCATGGACTTAAATCATTGTTTCTTGTGAGGTATATAGCTTTGTGCTGTGTTGATGCCAGAATCTGCTTTCAGTTTTGTGCTGTTCCATAGCTAGTCTGGTTGCCTTCCAGGTCTGTATCGGTTGTCAATAGGGTTCAGGTACTGGAAGCTAATATAATCCAGCCAGTCTTTCTTTTCATATGTTTTAGAGATCAGAGTTCTGGCACCAGATCAGTCTGATCTTTGAATCTGCTGCTCTATTAGTACACTATGGTGACTCATTATAAATTATCATAACTTTGCTTGTTGTGTGGTGGGGAAATTCCTTTTGGAATTCTTCGATACTGAGGGCCATTCCTACTGTTCAGCCCAACTACTTGGGCTGGACAGTAGAGCAGTGGTCTTGCTTCATGCAGGTCAGCATTCAATTCAAGACTGCCCAAGTGGTTGGGCACCATTCCTCTTTCCCCATCCCATCCCAAATTCTTACCTTGATCCTTTCCAAGTTCTATACAATCGTAATGGCTTGGCACTTTCGCTTGATAATTCCCGTCCCTTAGGCTTGTGTGGAATCATGTTTGGGTAAACACACAGTTTCAGATTCCTAGTAGGCAAGAGACTGTTCAAGCCAATGCCAAATTACAGTGCAGGCTTGGGTTTTGAACCACCCATTCCTGGGTTTTGTAAAGTTCTCTCAAGATTCAATATTTTTGGAGGCTAGGGTGGAAGTTCTGGGTCACTTTACTTCCTAGTTTCATGACACGAATGTAGGCACTTCTGATCCCTTACCTTCAATAGCAATAGCTTTTTCTGTTAAATGTCTGGCTTCTGCCTCTTCTGGCTACAGGTTCTAAGAGACTGCAGTCTGTTCTCACACAGAAGTTTGCAGGAGTTAGGTTAGCAGCCTGATATTGTGTTTTTCTTTTGTCAAGGGTCATGCTTGGAGATTGAGCCCCAGGTGGCTCTGTCTTGTTGAAATTAACCCTACAGAGCTTTTGCAGTGTGCCAGTCTGCCATGACTGTCATGTCCTCCAGACCCAGTTGGATTTTGACTTAGAGAATGATGAAGAGGACTAGCTCAGAAAAGACTTTCATAAATCTCTCTTAAAAAAAAAACATTGAGAAATTAAGAATGACTGAAGTATTTTTGTTTTGTTTTGTATGATTAACATAATTTCCATATAAAAATTTTGTTCTTACAGTACAATACATTATTATAATACTTTTTTAATATAATGTACAGAGTAATAGAAAGGGTTCACAACTGGTAAAACGTTTGCAAATGATAGTACCAGAATGTAATTTTCAATCTAATTAAAACCTATAGAACCTGTACTAGCATTTTGTTTAGAGCATAAGAAAATGGTTATGAGTGATAGCTGGGTGATGTACCATCTGTACTGAATAATCAGTTTAAGCATTTAACAAGCATTAATTATCAGGATACAGTATTTTTCTGAAATGTATACTGTACTGTATATGCTGAGATGTGTGAAATGTGTGCATATGGCTGAGCATTCTTCATGTGTATATAAATGTTCTGTGATACAGTAGTGTACTTACATGATCTGCTTCAAATTGGATAATTATGGATGACAGATTTAATAAAGAAAACTAAAGTTTCACACTGATCATTCTGAAAAATGCATTAGTGACTAGCTGAAAACCATGGTGTTTTATTATACTTTAGCTATAACATCTAAAATAATTACAAGAACATTCCTTTGTGAAAAAGAGTGAACCAGTGGGTGGGTTGTTAGGTGGACAGGTGAAGGTGTGATCAACCAAGAGCATTATACTCATGTGGGACACTTGCAGGTTACTGTTTGTAATCACCAACTGGTCATATATAGGACCCAACAGGGAAGGAGAGGGGAGAAAATTGGATCTCAGTAGTCGCTGTTTTCCGGTTCTTCCGGATCTGATGAGCTTGCCTCCACCTCATGGTAGTCCATTTCCAAGGCAGCTGTGTCTTCCCGAGCCTCGGCAAACTCTCCTGGGATATTGTGAGGGATTGTGGGAAGTAGGTGTCATGAAGAATCATGGGGAATGTGAGTGGGAAAAGGGATGCATAAATGAGATTCAGGGAGAAGACAACACTGATGCCAATACATCACAATGTGTGTTGATTCTCATTTAATTTCATTATATAAATAATTACTAGATGGCAATTTATGACATATGCATTAATGAAAACAGATTAATAAATACTGATTGCTCAAATATTAAAAATATATACTGTATACTGTACACCTATATAAGTAAAACAGTAACAACTGTTTTAAAGAAATGCAAAAAGTATCATTTAAATATGTGACATGTGAAATCTGAAAAATGTGAAAAATATCCTTTCTATAATTTCAATTCTTTTGTCTTGCTTGTATAGATATTTTTGCTTCCATATTTCTTCCGACAAGTATGGAAAACCTCATGTTCTGTAACCTAGGGATTACCTAAATGTGTAACCTAGGAATGTCTTACAATATCATCGTTATCATGGTTAGAACAGTGAATCACTGGAAGAGAAGCATCAAGGGTAAATAAACTACAAGACTTGTAGCACAGTGATTACAGCAGATGACTCTCAATTGACTGAACCTGGATTCAATTCCCAAGCAGGACGAAACATTTAGACACATTTCCTAACACTGGATGTGTCTGTCATCTAGCAGTAAATAGGTGCTTGGAGGTTAATTGAGTGCTTTGGGCAGCATCCTGGAAAAGATCAGTAATTGGCTAGGGAAGCCTTAATAAGCTTAACAGGTTTCTTTCTCCCACAAAGGGGAAACCACAAACTAGAAGCTATTCACCCTCACACAGATAAAGAAGTTTTCATTAATGAAAACACGCATTCATTCACATACTCCTACAGACAGATATAAGGTCACTGGAACTTACCTTCTTCCATGCCCTCTCCAACATACCAGTGGATGAAGGCTCTTTTGGAGAACATTAAGTCAAACTTTCTGTCCAGGCGTTTCCAGGCTTCCTTGATAGCAGTGGTGTTGGAGAGGACGCAGACAGCTCGCTCTACCTTTGCCAAGTCACCACCAGGAACCACAGTGGGTGGCTGATAATTGATGCCCACCTGAAAAAGAACAAGAAGAAATGCATTGGCATAAGGAGATATATAAAATAATTTTACCTAGGAAGAAATATTATCCTTAGTCAAAGTAAGTTTTTTTTAAGTTTAGTTCATTTATTATGCACCCCATACCTATCCTGTGGGTGATAGTGGAAAGGGTTACAGAGGCACATAATGGGCTCAGGAACTGAACCCCAAAAATTCCTTTTCACAATTCATTCAGTGTCACAATTGAAATGTTTATCCTGCACACTGTCACCATCCAGTGGGAAGTGGAATATTAACTTTCATGGATTGTCCAAAAAATATGTGCATGTTCAGTTTTTATTTGGAAAGGGAACTAAGTGCAGTTGTTAAGGTACCATATAAGCAAAATGCATAATGCTATGATTTAAGTACTAGTGAAAGGAAAACAAATACTGATTTTTTATTAAAATTAGACTTTCTCATCAGCTCTCCTAGATGTCTAATTTAAAATTTTAGTGCTTATATAATGCCATAAAGCACTTCTTTTAAGTACAGTATATTAATTGCTAAAATTTCATATTTCAGTACAGGCTTCAGATGCAAATATTATGGTCAAATGTTAATATTTTGATTTAAATAATCTTAAAGAATTTTGGGTGTGAGCAATCTAAATATATAGTACAATTCATACTAAATTATCTTGAATGGACTAGGGTATGGTTATAAGTATTTATCTAGGGGGCAAAGGACAATTTTATTAATTACAAAATATAATGCTTTGAAATTGTGTAAGACCATTTTCAGCAACTACTTTCCCCCAAAGAAATATTGATCTGCTGAGTCTTGCTAAAGAAATGGTCCACTCTATATTTAGTCATCCTAAAATCTGTTAAAAAAACTACATTTATATTCTTCCAGCCAAAAAATTATAAGCAATATCAAATGTATGTAGTGAAATTACTTGTAAATTACTGTACCTTAAAGCCTGTGGGACACCAGTCGACAAATGAGATCGTTCTTTTTGTTCGCAACTCGGCGATGGCCCCATTGACATCCTTAGGAACAACATCACCTCGGAATAAGAGACAGCAAGCCATGTATTTGCCTTCCAGGGGGTTACACTTTACCTGTAACCCAAATTTTTGTGCATAAGTTGTAAATCATTTTGTAATGATTGGTTTAATATAGCCTTATTATGCACTCTTGTATTTCTTAAAGCAGTTCTACATGCTAAGGGAACTTAAATTATTACACACTTTAAACTGATGAAATTGTATAAATTAACTTCTCCGAGATATTCATACCATCTGTTGATCCTGTTCAAAGCATTTGGAGGTGATGGTGCGGACATCAAAGTTGTCATGCTGAGCATTATCAGTTGACACTACAGGAGAATATGTTGCCTGAGGGTAAAATATATTTCAACTTAGGTTCCTTGTATTTTCCTAATGACTGCTACAACTAGTAAACTGGGTGGGGAAAAAGAATGCTTATGGTATCTATAGTCTATTTATTCCAATTAGTAGTGATGAGAAATATACAGTACAGTATATTAGCTTATTATTAAAAATATATTAACAAAAGTTGACCAGACCACACACTAGAAGTTGAAGGGACGACGACGTTTCGGTCCGTCCTGGACCATTCTCAAGTCGATTGTGGATCGACTTGAGAATGGTCCAGGACGGACCGAAACGTCGTCGTCCCTTCAACTTCTAGTGTGTGGTCTGGTCAACATACTTCAGCCACGTTATTGTGACTCATCGCCTGCATATTAACAAAAGAATTGATACAAATTTAATGGTACCAGGAATTTTTGTAATATGATCATTTAGTTTCAACAAATTAACTAATTATATTTCTTATAGTAATGAAGATGAACTGAGAACAGTAGCATACTACCAGCTGAGCACTGCAACAGTGCCTTACCAAAGGGAAATGTATCCTAGGGTATGGCACCAGATTTGTTTGAAACTCTGTTAAGTCAACATTGAGTGCTCCATCAAACCTCAGAGATGCTGTAATGCTGAAACATAAATGTTTGCTATTTAATTTTACTAATATCATTAGTAAAATTGGGTTAGGATCATAGGCAAGTGGTGAAATCTTGTAATTATATAGCATCAGTTCATGACATGGTATGCCCAAAATGTTGTACATGTTTCTATGTATATTTTATAAATAAAATTATTATTATAATTAAATAATAATTATTATTACTTATTATTATCACAGAAAACACATTAAAATGATGTATCAATGAGAAAATCAGTAGAAGCCAAGAGGAGAATTTAAAACTACACACTGGGTACTAACAAGTGACTTAAACCACTGGGCCACAATATGCTAAACAGTTATGTAACCTGGGATTCAACTGAGTTCTTGAGGCATCTTCTAATACTATTGAGGTATCAAAGGGTGCCTCAGGATCCTAGAAGATTTGGTTGAATTCCAGGTTAAATTACTTTTTAGCATATCATGGCCCTTTGGTTTAAGGCGTGTGCTAGGGAGTACCCAGTGTGCAGGTTCGAATCCTCCTCATGGCTCCTATTAATTTTCTCATTATTATTATTACTGTATTATTATTATAATTGGGAGTATGTGTGGTATTTCATATATTCATTTGCTCACTCACTACACAACTTTTCCCATTGCATCCCCCTTACCTGGAGACCACCTGACCAATCATGCGGTTGAGATTGGTGTAGGTTGGTCTGGAGATGTGAAGTCCTTTCTGGCAAAGGTCATAGATGGCTTCGTTGTCAACCATAAATTCAACATCACAGTGTTCCAGAGTTGTGTGGGTGAACAGGATTGAATTGTAAGGCTCCACTACTGCTGTTGACACCTGAAGGAATATAAATCTTATATTGATTTTTCATAAAGCTCTCAGAATGACTTCGATTATTGAATAGGATCAAAACCTAGTTTATTTATTCTTGTTAATAAAGATGTGTAAAGTACCTAACCTGGACAACTGGGAATATAATGACGTGTCAAGTCCTAACCTGGGATAGTAGACATAAGAAAAAAGTCGAACCTGAGGTGCCGGATATATCGAAAAGCAGAGTTTGGACTTCTTGCCATAGTCGAGGGAGAGATGTTCCATCAACAGTGACCCGAATCCTGAGCCAGTTCCTCCACCGAAGGAATGAAAGACAAGGAAGCCCTGAAGCCCAGAACATTGCTCCTGTTGCTTCCTGATAGTGTCACGCACCACGTTCAGCTGTTCCTTACCTGCGGAAAAGGTTGATGAAAGAGGAGACTGTTTGTGGAAAAACTTCACTAATTGGTTAGAATCTACTGACAACACATAAGACACCATCCCTGACAACACAAATTAGTGACCCTTAGCAACTCGTACCAACAGTGTAGTGGCCGCGGGCGTAGTTATTAGCAGCGTCCTCCTTGCCAGTATGGAGAGAGTTGGGGGAGAACAGGTTGCGGTAGGTCCCCGTTCTGATCTCGTCTGCAAGAATACAAAACACACAATTAATTTTGGTTGGGATTTAAAGCCTATAGAGAACCAATATTATTATGGCCTATTGAAATTGAAATAAGTTCTATGGAATGTCTGGATTATAACAAGACCTATTGAGTGCGAGGGGGTCATTAAGGCCTACTGAGTGACACCATTATTATCGCCTATACTTATAATACTTATGCCTATATAAGTAATACTAAATAATTAACATTGCTAATTACCAATAATTACCCACTTACATATATGTAACATTACATAATGCGTAAATGATGATCTTAAAATAGTTAGCTTTTTACTTGATGCTCAAGGAGGTACTCTAATACAATGATAAGAAAGGCATTTAGGCTATTGTGAAAATCATTATAATCGAGTACCTATTCATAGCAATTGATCGTATGGTGTAGAGCAAAACCAATGTGATATTTGAGATCGGCGCCTCCAACATTAGAAGAAACCAGTCTGAGATATAAGTCGGCAAAAACTGTTGATGTATATTTTTGCCAGACGAGATAGAAATAATAGCTGTATTTCGTAACCCTTATGAAAAACCGCTGTGTGTATTATGTATACACTTTCTTGGTGGCTGGCACGCGGTGATCAGCTGGTCACGTGCTGCAACTAGTGCTTGTTTCCAGAACTTTCCGGTGGAATCCCTGGTGTAGATGAAGGTCAAGTTATTGATTGGCAGGTGTACATGCATTCTCTTAGTCCGTCTACCCACTACTACCTCCTCCCCCTTTTCTTTTACCTCTCCTCCTTCCTTCTACCTCTCCTCCTTCCTTCTACCTCTCCTCCTTCCTTCTACCCGCTTCTACCTCTCCTCCTTTCTTCTACCAGCTTCTACCTCTCATTTCTTCTACCTCTCCTCCTTCCTTCTACCCGCTTCAACTTATTGTCTTTCTACCTGTTTCGACCTCTTAAACTCTCATATACTTATGTTTAGGGTGCCATTCACATTCTTTCCATTTTCCTTCCGTTCCCAACTTATTTCCTCTTTCCCAATTCCTTCCCTATTATTTTATTTCCCCTTTCCCTCCATATAAGCATCCACCACAATATGTGGTAATAATAAATATAACACATACTACTAATATAAATGGAAAATGAGAGAGAAAGAGAGAACACTAAAACAAAGTCTGCAATGACCCTATAAATATCTAAAAAAAATACAACAGTGGATTGGTACGCCCACTTGACCTACATTTTGAAATTTATTATTTGCGCGGTGGTATATATTATGTTAATTGATGAATACAGTGTGTGTACTTACCTAGTTGTGCTTGTGGGGGTTGAGCTCTGGCTCTTTAATCCCGCTTCAACTGTCAATCAACAATGTGTGTGTGCGTAATTACCTAAGTGTAGTGTGTTGAGACAAAGATTGTCACAAAGTTATCTAAGATGTAAGATGACGTCGTCAGACACATTGAGCCTGGTCGACTGTAATAAAACAAAGCACGAATTTACCGCGCAGAATTTGCTGCTAGGCTCTTTCTATGTCTCTTTAATTCCTAAACATTCGCTAGCTATTCTATGTGCTCCATGGTGCCGCCCTTCTCGTGGTGCCCTCAGCACGTGTGTACATTGCTTAATTGTTAATCCAGGGCGGATTAACTGCACGGTAATAGCTGCCCTTGTTCTGGTATTTACAATCAATAAATCTACCACTGCCCTTGTTTTTCGTACAATTAATTCTAAACAGTTGAATGTATCGTTTCTTTCGTTGAGATAGAACCAGCTAGATTATTCAGTATCATGTTACCCCCGAACACGATTCCCTAATAGTTTTACATCCAGGTCCCTACATGTCCTCTCGAATAATACATTGCATTTTGACGTCAGAATCGCCAACAGACAAAATATGATATACTATAAATCATAGCACCTCACAACCAACCACTGTTTCCGTGCGTGACACCATCGGTTAGGCCAGGCTAGGTTCGAGCAATTTAGTACATCATTTTTGTGACGTTGTGATAGCTGGAGAGAAGGGGCTGCAAGACCAGGGTGCATGCACACCATTATAACTGTGACTAGCTAATTAAAAAGTAAGCTGTAGCATTATTATAAATTATAATACAAAAGTAATAAATAACAGTGATTATAATGCAAAACAGTAATATATATTTTATTAGCATGTAAGTACACTTATAGTCCTGGACTAGGTTCAGGACTGAAGCATTCTTGCTTGTTAGTAAGTTACTGTAGCGACCTTAGGAACTGTCCAGAGGGTAATAGGCTAAATCCAAACACCAAGCCAAACTGAAACTAGCTGTGCGGGTGGCGTCCGGCCGCCCACGTCCCTGGAGCTCCATTCTGCTCCAACACTGACCTATATTTACACCCTTCCCCTTCTTGGTAATTACAGCTATTGTGTCATGAGTTAACACGGCTTCCTCCCGTACATGTTCCTAATACGCCCAAAACACTGCTTCAGTTTCTGGGCCCCGCCTTTTAAAGTGTCTAAAATCTAATGCTTTCAAAATTGTGCATAGGTTTAGCTTCAATTGTCATTGAAATAAAAGTTTTCGCTGCCATCACGGTGGCTCATCTGCGCTTGAAGTGTCTCCGTCCTTCTGTTATATCGATACCCATAGAGTATCTTGCACGCCTGCATCAAGTCAATTTCTGAGTCTTTTTTTCCTTCATGTTACACATTGCATATGTGACATTGTCCTTTTATTTCAATTCTCTCACTTCTGGGTCTGGTCATGAAACACGTTGCTGCACTTTCCAGACATTCCTGTGTTTTATCTGGGGCAAGCTCCATGCTCGTGCTGCATATCCTGGCACTTATCAAGAGTGTGTTGTGAATATCGTGTCTGTGTGTATGTTAGAGGAAGCTGGTGACCTGGCACACGTGCACCTGTGCTTGTCACTCGTACACCCGGGTTATTCATCACACAGCCTAAGACAACAAGTGGGAAGACACACTCGCCCAGTTCCCAGTGCTGCCGAGGTTACCCTCGCGTATTAGGCTACACCTCCTGACGGCACTTTATCCTTCCTACCCCTCAAGAGATTTCCTCCCTGCAACCGCCTCAAGAAAGATTATCATCCATCTTGCTAATCCTGTAATTTAGGCTTACTGCTCCCTCTGTATGCGTGATAAATTTCATTTGGAACCATTGTTTATTGTGGCTGAAAACATGAGGGTAGTTTAGCCTTTAAGAACGATCCAGCTGTCGGTAAACATCTCCCCGTGCTTGTTATACTGATTATGTATCTTTATTATTTCCTTTTCCTTTTTTATTCTCTTCCTTCTGCTGTCTTGATTCCCAAGGCGCCAGAAAATTGCTGGTCTTGATGAAACCTCATCACGTAACATTTTGTATTTATCATTTAACTTTACAGACAATATATTTTTATTTGCTTTGTGTATAAAAAATAGAAGATATCTTTACTGCAGAATCTGTAATAGGTTCAATGTCAGAAGATATATTCAACTCCTCAAATATTTCTATTCCAAATATTGCTCGTTTAAAATAATTAAAATTCAAATCATCGTAAAACATGTAAATAAAAGTTCAAATATCTTATTTTTTTTAATAAGATATTTCTTATTTTGATTGGTGTGTATCCTTATATTGTTTGGCATTTATCTTCAAAATTGAAATAGTAGGAAATTTTTAAATGTGCCCTCTATCTCTGACACACACACACACACACACACACACACACACACACACACACACACACACACACACACACACACACACACACACACACACTTTCCTGGAGTATGAAGCTCCAGCCTGCAGTCCATACCTAGTTAAACACATGACAAAGTTAGAGAAGATTCAGAAGTATGCCACCAGACTAGTCCCGGAACTGAGAGGTATGAGCTGCGAGGAAAGGCTAAGGGAGCTGAACCTCACATCCCTGGAAAACAGAAGAGTAAGGGGAAACATGATATTCTACAAAATTCTCAATAAAATTGACAGGGTGGACAAAGACAAATTCTTTAGCACGGGTGGAACACGAACAAGGGGAAACAGGTGGAAACTAAGTACTCAAATGAGCCATAGAGAAGTTAGAATTTTTTTTTCAATGTCAGAGTATTTACCAAATGGAATGCATTAAGTAGTGATGCGGTGGAGGCTGACTCCATACACAGTTTCAAATATAGATATGATAGAGCCCAGTAGGCTCAGGCATCTGTACACCAGTTGATTGGCAGTTGAGAGGCGGGATCAAAGAGCCAGAGCTCAACCCCCGCAAGCACAACTAGGTGAATACACACACACACACACACACACACACACACACACACACACACACACACACACACACACACACACACACACACACACACACACACACACACACACAAACAAAAAAATATTAGAAAATTATCTTTTGGAATTCGAGAAGGTGGTGCAGGCCAACACCGTCAGTAATTTCAAAGCGTCAAACGACAAAGAGTACAGGGAAGACAGGACACCTCGAGCGTAGCTTTTATCCTGTAACTACACTTGGGTAATTACACACACACACACACACACTGCCAACAATCACGAAACCACCATTTTCCACCTACGTTGATGATGCGGAAGGGGGGGGGGAGAGTTCAATAGTGTTGTTCTAATGGTCGTTTCATAAGCAGTCCTTCTAGCAGCTGATAATACTAATATCTTGTGTCATCACAAGTGACCGTCATAACCCCTCTTCCCCCAAAGCCTCCCTTTCTCAATCCCGTCACCCCTTTACCCCTACCTACCCCCTCACCCCCTACCCTTCCATTCCACTCCCCTCCGTCCAGCACCTAACGCATCACCGACTTACTTCCTTGTTCCAGAAACTTTCTTATCTTTCTCTCACTTTGTTTCCCCTCCTCCGACATTTTCCCCTATCCCCAACACTTTCTTCCTTCCCCGATACGTTCTTCCCTCCTCTATATGTTAGCATTCTTAGGAACACTAATTATACGGATGTTGTAAACTCTCAAGATATAATTACGAGGAGAGAGCGCTACGCCAGTATGAACA